CATCTCTTTTTTAAGTGCAGTTTTACCAATAGAGTTTGGGGTGCTATTGAAGGCAAATGCAACATGAAGTGGCCTGTTTTGGATTGGCCTGATATTGTTACATATGCTACGAAGGAGACTAAGGGAAATTCTCTTAGGGCTAATATTCTTAGCAATGCTTTCTTGTGCTCTATTTACCACATCTGGATTGAGAGAAATAATCGTGTTTTTAACAAAGAATTTAAGCCTGAAGAGGTGGTTATTAAATCTGTAATCCAAATGGTAAGAAGTAGAATGCTGTCCATTAAGAATTTGCCTGGCTCTGCTAGTGATGGCTGGTTTCTTGCCCAATGGAACCTGCCAACAACAATATTGAAGCCCCATATTATCAGATATGGGAGGGCTGCTGAGTGATGTGAGTTCCCTATATGTGGGTTGAGTGTTGGTGAGCAACATTGTGTGTTTTGCGTAATGGTTTGGTTTTGTGCAGGATCTGTTCAGAGTTCACTGTGGATGCATCTATGTATTTGAGGGTTGAGTGATGAGAGGAGTTAAAAATTTTCACTTCACATGAGGGTTGAGTGTATTCAGCCACCATATTTTTTGCTAATGTTAATATATATTGTATTTCTTTATTTGCAGGGTAAGGAAGCACAAGTCGAGTGGTGTGAGCCCCTAAATTGTGGGTCGAGTGGTGTGAGATCCTATATAGAGGGCACTGTTTCTGTTTTAATTCCTAGTAGATTGCATCTTATCTACTGGAGGTACTTACTTATGGCTATTCTTACAGGGTCTATTATAATGTATGAGCAGGTCTTGGGTTGTATGGGTCGGCAGTGGTGTCCAGGTTTTGGGGACTGCAGACTTGTTGTTTCGAAAGCTCCTGGCTTCTCAGATTTTGGGTTTACTGCAATGATTAAGGTCTGTTGCAGTTGCATGGAGAGGACGATCTTTACTTCTCTTGATGGCTGCTGGTTTGTTGACACTCAGTTGTTTGGCAGATTGCGTGACAGAGGTTACTGGTTTGTGTTGATGGCTGCTTGTAGCGCCTTTGTGGACACTTGTCTTTTCTTAATTTATATTCCTGTATTGAATTTCTGTGTTTGGATGTTAGACGGTATTAATGTGATGATATTTTTTTGGCCTACCCGTGCGGGATGTGCCGGGTTATTAGTTCGGTGTTTGCTTCTGGTTGTGTCGTATGTGTGTGTGGACTGATTTTTTTTTTTTTTTATTCAGCTTTGGGTTATTGATTGGATGTGTTCATGGACCTCATTCGTATGTATGCGGCTTATGCACATATCCTTTTGGGGTTTCCTTTCTTCTATGTATTGTTTTTTTCTTTTTTAATTTTGGCAGCCGGTTTTGATCCTTGTAGGCTGGTTTTTCGTGTTCTCTCTTCGGTTGTATAGTTTGCTGTTAGGTCCTGGGGTATGCCCCTTGTAGCTGTGTAGTTCTCTGTCTTTTTTATATCATGTCTTATTCACCAAAAAAAAAAAAGATTGTTTGAACAGGGATTAGGTTGAGAGTTTCTCTCTCTAAGCTCCCACCGTTGTTACCCATGGAGGTTTTTTAGTTTCCTTAAGATTCTTCGTCTGGTTTTGGGTGGTGCTATGTAGTGTTACTGAATTTGGTCCTCTTTTTGTCCAGATTTAGGTGGGTTTGAAATGGTTGTTGGTCGTTGCTATCATGAATGTGGAGTTTCATTTTTTGGCTCCATTTCTTGTGACTTATGCTGCGAAGAGCCTCTCTCTCAAGATTTTCTAGAGAGAGAATTGGTGATTATGGGACTGAAGTTGGGTCGGTGGTCCGGGTGTGGGTGGCGCTTCGCTGGTGACGTTCTACGATGCTGGTGGGGTTGTTTCCAACTCCTAGGTTATAC